TCCCCTGCCTGCATCATCAAACAATCAAAGGGTACACCCTACACTCCTGGCCCTGGCCACCAGGACACAACCCCTCTCCCTCCCTGAGTCCAGAGTCCCCAGCCTCTCCTTCTGTCCACATCATCATCTTTGTCTCCATCCCTAGTGTCACTGCCTCTCCGGATGGACATGGACGGACATGGTCTCGTACTTCATTTTTCTCTCTTGATGGTTCCAGGGATCCCAGCTCCTGGAATGCAAAATCAGCCACTCCTCTCCTTTTGTTACTAAACATTTACATTTACCTTTCCAACACTCACTGTCAGACCTGATAGCAATCATTCCCTAGTGAACCACAGGAGTCCTTTCCCCCTCACCTTTCATTAACCCCATCCAGACAGGTTGGAAACAATTCAGTGGAGGGTCTACCTTTTTCCCTGTAACCTCTGGAGCTAGGTTCCCTATTGAAAGCTTATAAGCCAGTCACTTCTTGCCTTTGTGGTCCCCCCATTTTGGGTAGCCAATGTCTAAATTCCCCCTCTCTGTCTATCCAAGGGGGTGTGAATGAGCCTCACTGTAGAGATTTGTTAGCCCCTTTGTCATACTGCATCCCCAAGCATAGGTCAAGATTATCCACTTAAAGTGGGTTACTCCTTTTTCTTTTTTTTCCCCCTCTTCTTTCTTCCTCTAGTCATGTTCTGATCATCCAGCCATTGATGCTAGGTCAAATGGGTACTATCTGCAAGTGTGGTGTTCTTGTGCATCCCTCCTCTCTTTATATCAGCTGGATGCTTCACAATCCGTTCTAGTTCTCTGGGGCCATGTCCCTGCCCCTAGGATTAGGAGTCCCCAAGTCTCATCATACTGCTGGTTACCCAGGTCTCAATCCAGGTTAACAGGAGTCTATTGAATGTGGTTGAACTTCAAACACAACTTCATTGTTGTTTTTCCCCACTTCACCTTATCAGTGACCAATGTGGTCAGCAACAGGACCATATGCCTGGTAGGGTATTCCATTTGAGTTTCAATCTTGGAAGGGGGTTTGCCTTGAGGGGACCTGACCACTTGCTTTGATGGCTCCTTGGGTAACAACTTGCCACCTTGGGAGGGTTCTACTACGCATGAGCACAGATCTCCTTGAAATTTAAAGAGACAGTGTCCAATTAAAACCAAATGGCCACAGCCGGCCCTGAACTGTTTCCAACTAGAAAAAAGGCCTGAACAGGGATTGTGGAGTGGGACAAGCAGACAAAAGAGGAAATAGGCTGAAAATTAAATCCTCAGTTACGTCAAAATGACCAACAGTGTTATCTTGAAACTTCTCAGGAAGAAGAGTAAAAAGGGAAGCCCATTCCCTGATCACATCTACCTGGAAGCATTCAGAAAGCATAAAAAATGCCAAAATACATACCCATCTATGTATTAAGTCCACAGATAACACCTGAAGATGCCCCAAACACAGAAGCAAATGACCATATCTGCACATGTTCAAAAACGAGATAAAGTTGACTGAGGCAAATGAGCTGGAAGTAGACCTACACTCCATACTAGAAGATGGGTAGACTTTGGAAATGCCTGAGAAGGAATTCCTAAAAATGATTATAAAAGGTATCAAAACACTATACAATGCAGTTGAGAAAAATAAGGGAGAAGTCAGGAAAGTGCTACAGGAACAAATAAATAAAATAGATAAAGCATTGGAAACAATTCAAAACCTACCGTAAGAGGTACAAATGATTAATAATATCAGAAATGCACAATACATTGAAAGGGCAAAGGAATAGAACTGAAGAGATAGAAGCTAGAACTAGTGAGATAGAAGATAAATCTCCCAACACTACTAAGATAGAAGAACAAATATAAAAAAGGATAAAAACATCCAAAGAAGGCCTAAGATTCATGTTGGATAACATGAAGAGGAATAACATAAGAATTATTGGCATTCCAGAACAGGAACAATCACACAAGCCCACAGAGGAGATAGTTGAAGAGCTTCTGGAAGAAAATTTTCCTAACATCATTAAAAGTGAAAAGATAAGCATTCAAGAAGCTCAACGAACCCCAGCATGGATAGACCCTAAAAAACAATCACCAAGACATATAATAATCAAGATCTCCAAAATCAAAGATAAAGACAGCATCTTGAAAGCAGCTAGGGAAAAGAGAAATATAACATACAAAGACAAGTAAATCAGATTAAGCTCAGATTTCTCAACAGAAACCATGCAGGCAAGAAGGCAATGGGGAGACATATATAAAACCCTGAAAGAAAAAAAAAACTGCCACCCAAGAATCATCTACCCAGAAAAGCTGTCAATCAAATACGATGGTGTAATCAAAACATTCCAGGAAAAGCAGCAGCTAAGGGATTTTGCCAAAGCCAACCCTGCTATGAAAAACATCCTAAAAGAAGTTCTGTGGACTGAGAACCAACAAGAACACATAACAACTACAGAATGACGTACATGGCAGCATCAACCTAAACTCAGTCACAAATGAAAGAGTCAAGAACAGAATAAAATTATAAGAACAGAGGATCTGGGAGTTCAGTCTATGATCAAAACAATTACAATGTGAAAAAAGTAAACACAGAAGAACAGAGATCCAGGTGGTGGGAAGGTCACGTAGATTACTGGATACAATAAAGATCTTAAATGGAGGGAAGAACTAATGGAATATAAGGTAACCACAATGGGGTTGGGGTGGGGGGTTTATTTTGGGTGTTGGGGAGGAGGCAGAAGAACAAGATAGATAGGGGACCACTGAGACAGGTTTGCATGGCCTAGTGGGACAGAGGTAAATAGTGATGCATACTCAACCCTGGAACAACAGGGCTCTGGGATCTAGGTATAGCTTGAAGAGGGTAAATAATACTAAAATCCTTGACTGCCTTATGAATATTAGTTTCCCTTGCCTACTATTGTAAAATCGACACTTGAGTGGGATAGAAAGGAATGTTGGGAAACATGATTAGAGAAAACTTGTAAGCTCGCCTTCAGCCTATAACATTGGAATACCTAAAAGGGGTTCTACAACTTGCCCAGTGAAATAGACCTCATGCAAAACCTTTATAGAGTATAGGACCTTAGATGGAATCCTGAGTCCCATCCACAACCTTGTGAGGTAAGACATTCCCACTAGAAAGGACAAGCAGACTGGAACAGCTACAGTGACAGAAGATACATCTTCATGGTGAACCTGACCTATACTCAGAGTGATAGTTACTCTAAATACCAACAGAGAGGGAAAGAGTCTTCAAATCAAGTATCAATGCTATCCACTCTGTACACAGGGTAGATAGGACTGGGCAACTTAGACATTGGCTACCTAAAATGAGGGGGCAATAAAGGCACAAAGTGACTGGCTTACAAGGTTTCACGAGGGAGCTTAGTTTAAGAGGGTTGGGGGAAAGAAAGAGTCCCCACTGAATAGCTATCATCTTGTCTAGATGGGTCTGGTGAAAGGAGATGGGGATAAGATTCGTAAGATTCAATAGTGAATAAACTGTTATCATGACTAATTGCGACTGTCACACTTGTAAAGGTAGAAGTTTTGTAACAAGAAAAGGGGAGTGGTTAATCTTACAGTCCAGAAACAGAGGACCTTAGGACCATCAAGAGAGAAGTGCACAAGCAGAGTGCAGAACCTTATCCAGAGAAACAGCAGTGCCAGAGATGGAGGCAGAGATGGGGGGTTGGAGAAGGGGAGCAGCTGAGGATTCTAGATTCATCAACTAAGAAGAGAAGGACTATGAACTGGTGGCCAGGAACAGACTTGCAGAATGTGCCCTTTGGAGATGTAAATGATTATTATATATGACTGAGTGGGTTTTTTTGTTTGTGTGTTTTTAAAAAGCTAAAGTGGATAGAGAGAAATACTTTTAACTCACGGTATATGGAGGGGATTATAATCAATGTAATGAAACAAGTTATATGAATGGTTGAATGTGAAACTGATGATGTGCCCTGTAAACTTTCACTCAATCCACAATAAAAACCTTAAATTAAAAAAAAAAGAGAGAGAGATCTGCTTGGGAAATGCCTGTCACATTAAAATGGCTGTCTCAAATCAGCATCTTTAAAACATTCTGCTTTGATAGGGATTCTAGACCCAGAGAGGGAGACGGGCTGTGTGCTGACGACCGGGGGGACAGGCTTGCAAGGTATACCCTTTGGTTGGTTGATGATCCATGGAGGGGATTGTAACCATGGCAATGAAATGATATATGATAGGATGTTTTCCCATGTAAACTATCAAATAATTCACAATAAAACATTAAAAAAAAAAAAACACATTCTGTTTTGATCACACATTACTTTCTCACAATACTCTACACATACCTATAAACACAAACGCCTTTCTTTTCCAGAAGTTACTAAAAGATGGATTTTTTAAACTTAAAAACATAACCACAGAGCTAGTCCATTTTGTTTTTCTAATATGTTGAATATTTTAATTATCCTGGAGATAAATTTATTTTGAATCATTAGAAAATTATAGTATTTTCACAGAGCTGATTTTCTTTTTCTTTTTACAGGAGGATTGATGGTCCTTATCCCATAGCTTACTACTTATACTTCTGTCACAGACAATGTGCAATATGTAATTAGAGACTGAACTGAATATTGTATTCCTAAATGCAAAAAACGTTTCTAACTTTCCAATTCCTGCACCCGTTACTTTTTTACCTTTCTAGCCACTTTGTCCACTATTTTCTTACATATACTCTACTTTTCAAACCAATTGGACTTAGGTTCCAAGTATACAAAATGTTGAAACACCTTTTCCTCCGTACCTTTACTTATGATGTTTAGTAATCTTGTTTGCCAATCCTATCCAAACAATCCTGTTACCTTCTTCTCAAAACTTCTCTTGCTTTTCAGACCTGGATCTAGTCTACCCCTTTTCTGAAACCCCAAAATGTTTATCCTATAGATCTTCAAAACATTTATAATTGATTTCTAGTTGCTTTTGCAATGGTACCAAAGGGAATAGCAGGTTTAGAGATAAGTAGATGTAGGTTTCCAATCTGCTTTACTAAATTTCCCAGGCAAATTGCATAGTTTCTTGAATCCTCAGTTTCCTCATCTGTAAAATTCAACATGTATCTCATTAACTGAGAATTAAGTGAGTTATAATTTGTATAGTACACAGTACAGTCCCATGGAACACAGTAAGTGCTCAAGAAATGTTGGTTTGTACCTGTTTTATTCTCTTTACCACACTGAACACTTTAAGAGCATTTAATAAATTTTTATATACCCTATAATACTAAACTCAGGGCCTTGTATACAGTAGGTACTCAACTACTAAAGGGAAATGTAGTCTCTCAACAATCTATTCATATAACATGAACAAATTTTTACTTTCTTCCCAATTATATAATGATTTTTTTAAATATTAGGAGTTGAACCAGATTATCTTTCAGATTCCGACCAGTTCACCTTTTTCTAAAAAGCCCTTTAAAACTTAACCATAAAAACAAAGATACAGATAATCACATTCTGCAACTATACCACCTTTTGATCCAGTGAACAGGAGATCATCAGTAGAATCTACACAGAGTACAGCTTTTGTATGTCCTTCAGCTATGTGGATACATTGAAGTGGAGAAGCTCTGATCCCTTTTGAGGCAGGAAATGGGTTGATTATGCCCCTGCAGTTGGTGGGTGGGGAGGTAGAATAAAAAAAAAATAGTATTCACTTCAGTCACTGATAACAGCTATAATCTATAATACAACACTAATTATCTATTTCTTGCCTGACTGAAGAAGTCTTAATAAATACTTAATAATAAACTGTAGCTTACTCCATTGTCTTTTTATTTTTTTTTTTTAAGCAAAAGAACAGAGACAAAATATGAAATCATAACAGTGTTATAGTATTGGCATGGTGTATCAACTAGTTAGGTACTTGCTAGGAGCTACATTCCGCAAAGAGCAAAGCATCCGAAACAGTCTATACTGCTTGTTAAAAACGTTCTCTCTCTATGGCTTAATGAAGTCATACTGGAAGCTGCGTGAGTATACTGGATACTGATAAGGAAGAAGTAGGAATGATGGGTAACTCAAAGATGTAACTCTTATTTCATAAAACTACATTCTGTATAACATATGCCATCTAAAGACAAGAAAGAAATTTCAAACAATTGAAAAGGAGACAAGAATGACTGCATGGGCAGAGAGACTAAAGAAAGAATGGGTCAAACTGATCACAATCTCAAAACAAAAAAGAAAGGCTAAGACACATTCCCACCCCACCTTACCACCACCACCCCACACACATACAAAACTGAAGCTCTTAGGGAACTTTTTTGTAAGTTTAGCATTTCTGAGACATCTCCTTTATGTCACTATGGATATATAAAGATTATCAAAATATTGCTCTGATCCTAAAGGAATTTAAGGTGGGTCTGAATGAAAATCATGCTATTTAAACAGAAATTCCTACTTTCTTGATCTTAGTTTCCTCATCTTTAAAATGAGGATTTGACATGTATCTCATTAAAATTATTATGTCCGAAAGGATAAAGTAGAGAATGAATTAAGACATGGTATGTAACTTGGTGCATAGCAAAGGGAAATTATACTGAAATTTTTATATAAGACAAATGCACAATATTAGGAAAAATACAGAAATAAAGTAAAACATGTTGTTGCCATTTTCTTAACAAGAAAGAATAATAATCAAGGTACAAGGACCAAAAAGATTAAGAAGAATGTGAGCACAAGATAAGTTAGGTCTAATGATAGAACAACATTCAATGAGTTCAAGTATTTCTGTAATAAAATAATTTATATTACAGGGTTCTGAATGTATATGCTGTACTGAAGGCAGACAGATTGTTAGTACTGCCAATCACAAAAAATTAATCATAGAAGCAAAACATGTGGAGCCAATTTTTCAAAACAGCAAATGAAAAGAAAAATTTGTTTTAAGAAATCACAACTGAATAAAACTTCATGTTGAATTCCACAGATAAAAATATTAACAAATCATTATATATACTGTAAGTGCTCATCAATAAAAGATAACATGAGTTCATCAACCTATTGGGGAATGCTATTTTTATGCTTAATAGATAGAAGATAAGGAGAATAATATATGCTAACTCCAATAGGCCCTTAAAAAACACCTTTGAAACAATATCCTTCCAGGCAAGATAGGTAAGTATGGAATTGCTGCACTAAGGTAGTCCATTGGTGGCTGAAGAATCATACCTAAAGGGTCAATGTCATTATTAGTCTGGAGATCTTCAATGTCTAATCTGCCAATGGTCCTAAAGGAAATTAAATTTTTCCAACTTATTAAAACAGATAGACTATAGAATTGGACATGGTATTGTATTACCCAGAAAAATGATTAAAACAAAATTCACTCTTTTCAAAATACACATTTAGCACTAAAATAGTCATCAGATCAAACATAAGCATAAAATTTAGGCCAAAGATAGAACAAAATGCTCCAAGTAAAGGAGTGCTTAACTAAAGGTTAGGTTTAAAAAAAAGCTTTGTTTATTAAATACTGTAACCAATACCATCAGTTATCTAATCAATAGAAGTAAATATTTCAGAAGGAAAATAATAGAGCTAATTCTATTCTGACTAGGCCACATTTGAGATGTTCAGTTGTTGTTAGGTGCCATCGAGTCGGAACTGACTGACAGCGATCCCATGCACAGCAGAATGAAACAATGTTTGATCCTGGGCCAACCTCACTACAGCCGCCACACTTGAGTCCATCAATGCTGTCACCTGGCCAATCCATCTCATTGGGGTCTTCCTCCTTTTCTCTGACCCTCCATCTTACCAAACATGATATCCTTCTTTAGCGACTGTTCCCTCATGACAATATGTCCAAAGTATGAGAGATGATGTTTGGCCATCTTGGCCTCTAAGGAGCACTCTGGCTGTACTTCTTCCCAAACAGATCTAATTGGTTTTTTTGGAAGCCCATGGCACTTTCAATATTCTCCTCCAACACCTAATTCAAAGGCATCAATTCTTCTACAAACTTCCTTATTCACTGACCAGCTTTCGCATCCATATGAGGTTATTGAAAATACCATGGCCTGGGTCAGGTGCACCAAAGTCCTCAAGCTGACATCTTTGCTCTTCAACACTTTAAAAAAGTTTCTGTGCAGCAGATTTGCCTAATGCAGTACGTCTGATCTCTTGACTGCTGCTTCCATGACTGTTAATAGTTGATCCAAGAAGAATGAAGTCCTTGACAACTTCAATCTTTTCTCCATTGATAAGAATGTTGTTTATTGGTCCAGTGGTGAGGATTTTTG